TCACAAGAGAGTAAGAGTACAAATAAAGAAGAAACAAGAGACAAAAAGGTTTTCTTTGGTGTGAAAAGACAGATAGCAACTGAATAAACTTTGGCGATGGATATCATTACTTGAAATTTATCTCAGAATCTTGTTTTCAGATGGTTATCAGCACTTGACTGCTGGTCTTGTTTCACAGACACTTACTGGTGATGCAGGAAGGGAGGGGGAGCTGAGGGATGAAGGAGGTGTGTCCAAAGAGAGTGTTGGTTTTGATCAGAAGATTTGCTCTAAATGTCAAATTGTTTTGACAAAAACAAAGTTTTTATTAAACACAGTAACTTTTAAACACGTTGGTATTTCTCTCTTCAACGTACAGGTCGAGCTCACAGTGGTCTGCATAAAGACAAGTTGGTGGAGCTTCTGAAAACCCTGAAGATTAGAAGAAACCAAACCTCTGACGACTCAGAGACACAAATGTTATCTGAAATGAAAAATGTTTAAACTTTCTGTCTGTGTACCATTTCCCACCTGGTCCTGGTTTTACGTCAGGCTGCGCAGGAAGGTGTTATCAAAACAGAGAGAGCAGATTAACTCACAGGTTAACTCACTTCTGTTACACCTGATCTGTCACATCCAGATTACCCTCAATCCTCACAGACAGAGAAGAGCTAAACATGTGACACTCTGAGGCCCCTCAGCCTGCTGCGGGAATGTGACACGCGCACTACACGCGCACACACACACACACACACACACACACACACACACACACACACACAAGCACACACACTAATCTATGACAGCAGCTACAACACATGCAGAGGTGTATGTCCTCCCGCCTAACATACATGTGGGTCATGTTTCAGATCAGCTTTAACCGTTTGTGCAGGGCTGAAGGTATGAACAGAGTTTCTGCTAATTGGATCAAACTAAATACAAATGTTTCACAACTACAACAACAAAAATAAGAATAAAATCCTTCAGAACCATGATCAGGGATATGTTTAGTCTCAGCACAGAGATAAGCAGTTTAAATCAATCCTTCTAGTTTAAATATTTTTATTTATCACATAAAAAATAAGTACCGGTAAGTGGGCTCTGGTAGCACAGTGGTTGGTGAACGTGCCCCATGTACGGACGATGTAGCCCTCAAAGCCGGAGAACAAGGTTTGAATCCAACCTGAAGGCTCTATTCCCTCATGTCATTCCCCACTCTCTCCCTCCCTGGTTTCTGACTCTACACACTGTCTTATCTCTACAATAAAGGCACAAACATCAATGTTGATGTCACTTTATGGATAAAACCAGAAACAATGTTGGACAGAAAAATAACGTATAAAATCATACACATTGTCAGACAATGGTCAGCAATAACAAACTACCGGTGTTTAAAGTAGTGTGCAATACAAAAAAACTGTAAGAAAGACAGGTTGACAAGTTAAGATGAACCTATCAGCCAGGTGAGGGGGAGCCTAAGTTTCAGGGGAGGAGGGGCCTAACAGACAGGGGAGGAGGAGCCTAACAGACAGGGGAGGAGGAGCCTAACAGACAGGGGAGGAGGAGCCTAACAGACAGGGGAGGAGGAGCCTGACAAAGATGACAAGAACTGTCTGTATAAATGAAATTTGAGTATTTTACCGCAAGCAAACAGATAAACAAAGAGGATTACTAACTGAATGAACAGGTTCTGTGATGTAATGCACTCGGAGTTACTGTAAAACGCTGACTAGAGAAAACAGACACTTTATGTCTTTATACACTCAGCAGAGACACAAACAGACTTCACTAGAAGTAAAAAAAAAAAAAGGTTACATCATTATAATGAAAACCTCATGCACGCATATACTTATAGAACAAACAACTTGAACATGAAAAACAACAAGATAAATAATCAGGATTCTAACCAGAAAACCTGAAATTGAACAGATAGTATACATCCTCTGATGTTACCATGGAGACAGCAAAACACAACTCCTTTAACGTAGCAGATGCCTGCAAGCTGCAGCTACATTGGTCTGAAGCTAACAGCACAGACAGAAGGAGGCTTTCAGTCAACAACATTAGCATTCTGTTAGCACTTAGCATTCATCTCTGCTGCCATCGTCTTTCTTGACCAATAATTGAAATGATCAATAACCAGCTGGTCCACTTTAACTCATTTAAACACACTGACTGGTTTATTTCAACACCAGAACTACATGCTCTCATTGAGCTGCATGTGTGAATGCAAACAGCTGAACATTTCACTTTGACTTTACCCAGACATTTTCTTTCCAGCCTCATAGTAAAATTTCTCCATTGGGTCAAGGTGAGCTGACGTACGAACACAGCAGGAAATATTCAGGAAAATGCACTGCCTATTCTGAGATGTTTTTTTTTTTTTTTTTACATCATGTCCAGCTTCTGACACACACACCCCTGTGCAACAATTAACTCCTCAAGCTGTGAGGTGCATGTGTGAACAGGCAAATCAGGAAGCATTCAGGGGCAGGCTGTCTGAAATGTTCTAGAAATGTTCAGGAATTGCATGTGTGTAAAAGGGGCTTGACTGTGTGTCAGCACGCGATTATCTTCCTGTTTCGTAATCGTTTGGCATCCAGCTGCCAGCTACACACACACATACACACACATAAACACACACATAAACACACACACTCACACACTCACACACACACACACACACACACACACACACACACACACACACACACACACACACACACACACACACACACAGGGACGTCCCAGTGTTTCTGGGTGAGAGCCAGCTCCAGTTTCCTGGAAAATCTGAACGGCTGCCAAAATGATGTAAGTATATGTGTGTGTGTGTGTGTGTGTGTGTGTGTGTGTGTGTGTGTGTGTGTGTGTGTGTGTGTGTAATGACTACATATGTAAATACTTCAATATAACTTATTTATTAAGATTCAAAACTTATACATTTAGATTATATAAAGATGTAACACTTGTAACTTTAGGTTGAGATCAAAATTTCACCTTATTGTACTATTTTTTTATTTAACACACATAGTTGTGTACATGTTGTGTACATGTTGTTGCTCTTTGTTAACATGCATTATCAGCCCTGGTTGTAGTTTGTCAGTCTGAGCATGCTCAGTGTGTTGGCTCCGCTCTGTCTGCTGAGCAGCCAGAAAAGTGTTTTTATTGTCCCATCATGACCATTACATTTTACACACACACACACACACACACACACACACACACACACACACACACACACACACACACACACACACACACACACACACACACACACACACACACACACACACACACACACACACACACACACGAACACACACACACACACACACACACACACACACACACACACACACACACACACAGCTGCTGCTTCAAACAAATAACTAACTACCACTACCAAACGGAGGTAAGCTGAGCTGTTGTTTTTCTGTGATTTGTCTGTACTACAGCACACCTTGTATTACTCAACATTACCCGACACACAGTGAGCACGCCAGCTTCCATTCATAGTTTTAACTAACTGCAGTAATACAAATAAATCAGATAAAATAGTAAGACCTGTGACCTGTTAGAAAATGTTTCAACTTTATTCTGTGACTGATCTGAAAGTCCTGAAACAAAATCTATTTATTTTTATTTTTTTAAAACAAACCACAAAGTGAAAAACAACTTGACGTGTTTTTATTTATGTTCATCACCAAGTTAATAAAGATTTAATGTTACATTATTAATGTTTCACCTTTTTAATAAAGCTCTATTAGTTAACACAGGGATTCTGTGAAATCCATAATTTTCTAACTAATACTTCTGATTAATTTAATAAGTGATTAATTAAGGGTGATTTTATTATGTTATTCAAGTTACAGAGTTAATAAATGATCCTGTGTTAAAAGCTTCAGTCTCCAACCAGTATCACAGAAACACACTGTTACAGATATAAATACACAGAGTGTGTTTATGATTGTTGTATATTAACAAGTCCTGATGTTCTGTCACTACACACTGAGGATTCACATTAGCATATCAGTTATTATATATATACATCTATTATCATATATTAATAATATAAAGTCCTGATGGATCACACTGATGGTAATTATATAATGATGATATAAAGTCCTTCTTTAACACAAGTTTAAAAAAATAAATTTCCTCTGACGTTCAACATTAAACATTCTGTTTGTGTCTCTTTAAAACAAATGAATGCAGGAATGATTTCATATACAGGATATATTTATGTTTATTAATATGTGATCCAATAACTTTATATGATTATTGAACACTGAAGAAATCTTTAAACATTAATTTAAAGTCAAACATGAACTGTATCAAAACTCTAAACTTGATTAATGTGTAAATGTTTTTATATTCAGTACATTAATGTTGAGTTAAAATCACGACTTATATTTCTGTTCTGATCATAGAGAATGAAAACATCAAATACAGTCTAATGTAACAGAAATAAATTCATATAAATTATGTATAATGAATTTTATTATTAACTTTCAATCTAATCACTGAAGTCAATCAGAAGTAAACAAAACATCATATTTATGATGAATCCTGAATTAATTCAGACATGAAATCACCACAGACAGTGGAGTCTGTTTTTAATGCTCTGTTAATAATAATATTACCTTCATGCCGATTAAACCATAAACTGTAATTAAATAATAAAATGATTCTCTTCCGGCTGAGTTAATTAAAGAAGCCGATCATGCAGATCAGATTTGATCCATTAATGTTTAATATTTAATCTGAGCTCCTAATCTAAACTCTGATTTTAAATTAAATCTTCACTCTTGTTTTATATTCACTCTGAATGTAAAGGGTTACATCTGATTAAAATAAGATTACAAAGTTTAATTAGACTGTCTTCAGTTAATGTTGAATAAATTAAGACTCTTCAGATCAGAGAGATTAAAAAATTCAGAATAGTTCATTATTGTTTAAAATGATAATAAACCACGTCATCACAGAGAGCCCGCAGGTGTGAGGAGGTGTTTGGCTCCTACCTGTTTGAATTGCTCCTCGTAAGTCCACTCGTGCTGCTGGTTCTGGTTCTGGGTGAGGGAGGGGGTCGGGGTCTCTGCACGGCGGCCCGGCGGTAAAGCGGACGGGACCCGGGTGAGGAGATGCAGCGGGGCTCCCTGCAGAGAGGACTCCCGCGGCGTGAAGTGGTCCAGCTCCTCCTCCTCCTCTTCCTCCTCTTCGTCCAGGATCTCCTGCTCGTCCAGCTCCTCCTGGTCCTCCCGGTCCGGTCTGACTCCTCTCCGGTCCTCCATGCGTTGCAGGGACAGCCCGTGATGATCGGAGCCGGATCCCCTGAGAGCCTCCTGGTACCGTCTGAAGACCAGCGCTTGCTGATGGATCTGAGCCTCCACCATGGACCGGAGCTCCTTCTCCGCCTCCGCCTGCCGGAGCTTCTCCTCCAGGGCGAGCCGAGCCGCCTGCTGCCGCTGCAGAGTCTCCATCACCGCCTCCAGCTTCATGCCGCCGCCCGCCGGAGGAGCCTGAGAGCTTGGGAACGAGCCGGGAGAGGTTACGGTGGGAGCCGGGAGAGGGGGGAAGCTGGAGGCGGAGGAGAAGGAGGCTGACTGCGGAGGAGCGAGAGGAGGCAAAGGTGAGTTACGCACAGGACAATTTATTATGAATTTGTTAATCCGACACTCACACACACTTAGACTAAAGTTACAGTAAACTCTGAACTCACACGCTTTCGCACACAGAGCGACGAATTAATGCGAACAAAGTGAGTTCATCTAATCCAGAATAAAGTCAGCGCTAATCCAGTGAACTGGACACTGATAATGTGTTGATCAGAGAGTAAATACACTTTGTCAATCTTCTCTCATATTAAATAAGGTGTGATATTAATCTTATATGGTAGGTTATTACGTGATATAAAATGATATAAAGTGATATTAAATAAAGGTTTATCATCTAATCTAATATAAGATTAAACACAATGATATAAAATGAGTCTCACCAGCGCAGACTTCGCGGAGACGCTCGTGTGATCCACCATGCTGCTCTCAGTCTGACAGCCTCACTGACACAGAGCAGAGCAAAGTCCACGAGGCATTACACACACACACACACACACACACACACACACACACACACACACACACACGCGCACACACACACACACACACACACACACACACACACACACACACACACACACACACACACGCTGACAGTGTGTGTAGTGTCTTTGTGTCTGCTGCAACAGGTGTTACATGTAGGGAGAATGACCTCTGCAGGCAGAAAGCAGACCTCCATCTGACAGCGGACTTTGTGTGTGGTTGCTTACAGTGATGTAACAATTACTATAACAACAATAACAGTAGTAATAATAATAACAACAACAATATTATTAATCAAAAAATCAGCTGTGTTTTATGACTCTTCCCTATCAGACCAGCTTTAAGTCTTTCAGCACTGAGCTCAGCATGTGTCAGACCACACAGACCAGCCTTCACTTCATACACACAAGTGAGTGAGCCTGGGTCAACCATTAATCTGTTCACCTGTCCACCTTCTCACCTCTACCTTTGATCTCTTTAGGCACCGCCTCCTGCAGATGGAGATGGAGATGATCTGACCCAGTTATAGCATCACATCCTTAGCCCCGCCCATTTATCTGCTCCCAGTACAACATGCTCACGTACTGTTTCAAATACCCCGCCCACTGACAGGTAATACTGTAACGAGATGATAAGTGTTATTACCTTCACCTGGCAGTGGTCTCAGTGTATATCATAATAATAATAACAATAATAAAGAGCTGAATATGAATCAGCAGCAGCCAGACTGATCAGGGATCAGCTGCTGCTTCAGACTCTTCAGAAACATCAGGTCACTGACAGGAAGCAACTGCAGGTTAAAATGTGTTTCATAATCAAATTAATGTCTGCACAGTTTAATAACAGGAATAACAATTTAACTGAGTGAACTCACATACTAGTTTATTCTATGTGAGGATAATGAAGATTACTGAGCACATTCTATATTTTAATGATTTGAATAAGGAACAATTAAACAGACAACGATTTCTGTGATTATTACATCTCACATTTGTTCCAGATTCTTCATACATTTCTTTGTTTTTCATCGTTAACTTCATTTTAATTATTTGTTTTTAAACACACGTTTAGAATAAATGTCCTAACAGAATATTTGTTTCAGACGTTTTCATTGTTATGTTTTTCGGTTTTATTCATGTGAGGCACTTTATATATTTGTTTTTAAGTGGTGCATTAATAAAGTTTTCATAATAATACAATGTTTTTCAAAAAGTCTGTCAGAACACATCTTAAAATATCTGAATATTTAAAATGTGTGTATTTCTGTCTGTTCAGTTTCATGTCTCTGCACGTTCATCATCAGAGCTCAGTGTGCAGACCCTTAACGCCACCTAGTGGCTCTCAGGAGAACATCAGCTGCTCTTTAAACTGTCGAGATTTTATTTCATTGAACTAAACTCTGCATGTTCAAATTATATGTTTAATGTAGAAATAAGATCTCTGGTTTCATGGGCTTGGGGTGGGGGAGAAAGTCTGACTACACAGAATCTGAATGGAGGATAGTACTCGTTATATCATAAGTAATTTGTGTTTGGATTTGTTTTACACAAAGTCAGAGTAAAGGGAAAACTAGACGAATGAATGAACAAGATGCGTAACTCTTCCTTAACTCTTAAAATCAAAGAAACACTTTTCTTTGCTTTTCAGAGGCTTGAAATGATCCAACTACCAAGCAGATGCAAATATGACAAAGTTTAATTCATTATTGTATTGTTTATTTAATCTGCAATTAAGGATGTAACACAAGTAGGCCTAATTATGGATAGAGGAATTTAAAACTACCTGTTTGATACCAAATATAGAAAATGTCTTAAAGACACCAAATATTATGTAGAATAATGCATTTATTTCTTGTGCCCTCTCTGGGTTACTAACATCACGATTAAGTTTTAAAGAACAGAAACAATTGATTATTCAGGAACATGCTTTTCTCCAGCTTTTCTTGACAACTATAATGAAACAAAAACATCCAGTGTTATACTTCAGTGTATTCCAGCCGGGGGAGGAATAATCTGAACATGGTAAAGTGATTTAGCATAATATGTGACCTTTAACCTTTTACTTCTGAAGATAGCAAAAATACACAACACTACCCCGGGGCTGTTAATGTATAATGTATACATTTAGTCGATATTTCCACCCTTTTCCAAAACACATGTTGACACAGTAATGACAGATTAACATACTTTATGATTTAATTCCTTTATCAGCAGGCCTAGTTTTATTCGTATTCTTACATTTTACATTAGCCTACATAGGCTACTTTATTTATCCCCGAGAGGAAATTCTGTTTTGCATACAGTTAATGAGGGACATGGACTCACACATTGGACCTACACACATGCACACAAAACATCACAAGGACAATTACTAATCAGACCAATATCGTTCTATATAGGCTAGGCCCAGCAGGATGTAATCATGTTTATGTCTGCTACCTGTTTTTTTGTTTTTTTTGAGCTGCCCGTGTTTTCCCGCCTTTTAAGCTTTCTGTGCCGTAAATTAAGTGTGACGTGCAGTCGAAAAAGATGATACCTTTCTGGGGAGGGGAGAGTGATCCAATGGTTGTGATAGATTAAAGTACCGTGGGAAATTTGACACAATGTTTCTGTCTTTACTTTTCTTTTGCGTTATGATAAATTTGTGTAACTTGTATTTTGATGTTTAGGTTGACTCAGGACGTTTCTGGACTGGCAATGGGTGTGTTTCCCCAGCCAATGAAAGGGTGCAGGTTAGTTGTTTAAAGCAGGTGTTATATTGTTCGAATTTCTCATGCAAGGTTGAGAAAAAAATATAATTTCAGAATTTCAAGCTTATTTTAAGCCAGCACAAGCCGCAGAGTCCTCCATGTCACTCACTGAGGTTTACATTTCTTTTGTCTATATCCAGGTCATCATCTGAGAAGCATTGCTCATATTCTGTGGATGCGCACAGACATATGAATCAGAGGAACTTAAACCTTCTTTTACCCACTGGTTCATCTTTATTTTTCGTGTCTTGATGCTTGATGCGTGTCTCCTTATTTTTTATCCACAAACTATTCCAACATTAAATGCACTAACTTTATTTGTCAGCTACACACGACAAGGCTAGTAAAAGGGACTGGACCTTAAACTGGGATGAGCTTTTATATGAAGTTTACAGTATTTAAGTCAGAGTTGTATTTTCTATTGTTGTCTCAAGAGTTGTCCAACAGGTTGCCCAGCCCTCCTCCTCTCTCTCCCCTCCTCCAGCTCCTGGTTCTAATCTCTTCATAAAGTTATCCTGATGATGTGGTGGAGTGGTTCCTCTTGAGACGTTCTCCGTGATAGAGGCAAATCGATTGAGTCGTGGAGAGGCTGACCCCTCCATCCTGTCAGTGATTAAACCTTGGGGATGGTCGACCAATCAATCCATGAGTTCACCTCCGTCACACACTGACTGACCACCTCCTATAATGACGGCTGGATAATTAGCTGTTTCTCATTGAAGGGCATCAACTCTTCAATAATTTATTTCACCTTTTTATTTTAAAGGAAGGAAGAAGACTTTGTCCTGTTGTTCAGGGGTCGACTGCTCATGTCTGACTCTCACAATGTTTCTGTGTGACAGCAGAACAGATTTAAAGAACGACTTTAAAACATCGTCAGAGTCAACAGATAAACAGTCAACTAACACATACGCTGGTTTGTTTTAGAGATATGTCTTCTCTTATTCCACACACACACACACACGAACACACACACAAAATTCATCCTTCATGTAACAGAGTAAAAATATGAATTGAAAAACTCTCAAATCGAGGATCAGCTTTTCAAACTTACATTAACGTTTCCCTTTATCATGTTTGGAAATATAAAACACTGAACAATGAATGTGAAACCAGGAGAAAATATGTCATCCATTACCTAAAGGTTTCTGACTGGAGAGTTTATATTTGTAATGAACGTATAAGCTGAACTAGACAAAAGAGATCAAACACTGAACACCATGACATGCTTCTGCTTCAAAAGCATTTTTCAGATTTCTGTATGTTGAGTTATAAGAGTTAAGTTTTGGGGTCTAGAAATAAGAAAATGATACTTAGTCACACTCAGGGCCTGATCCACAAAGTGATTGTGTGGCTTTTGTGCCCACTAAACCTGTGCAAATTAGTCAAAAAAACACCATCTAATTTTCAGAACACACACAAAGGGTTACAGTAAATTCACCCCTAACTGCGCTGCAGAGCAAACTAGCTCTGCAGCGCAGGTGCTGTTTGTGTGTATTTACGAGCCATTATGCAGTTATTTGGGGAAAAAAAGCCCCTTTTATGTAACACAGTTACAGTTTAAACAGTGAATGAGACGGAGCGTTTAAAATTAGTGCCAAACAATAATATTTTAAAATGTAAATTGTCTTTATTAATATCTATAGGAATCTTTGATGAGCTTATTTCAGTCACGTCCGCAGAAGAATGTAAACACAATAATTATACAACATTAAATTCACTAAAAACACACAACAAACAGAGGGGAGATCGGCACAAACCTCACCTGGAGTACGGCCCTCTACTTTTCTTTAAATTTGATTTTATTCGTCCTATTTTATTTTGTTTCCCTTTTTTCTTTCAACTCCTCCACTGTTTCTTCTCCTTCTTTTATTGTATATAACTCCTTTGCTGGTTCTGCCTGAGCTCTTAAATATTGTCGAGGAAGAAAGGAAAAGTTCATGAATTGATGGAAAACAGATCTAAACTCTCTTCGTGGAATTCAACTAACTTTAAATTTCTGTAATACTGCTGTCTGTCCTGTAAGAGTTGTTATTAGTTCACTGATGTTATTTCCTCTGATCACTGGGGACACAACCTTCACACCACTTTAAACATGTACAAATATTCTCATCTGTATATTGAGTATAAAAAATAAAAAATATTTGTGAAAGTGTTCTGAAACCTTCTTAGTGAGTGCTACTCCTCTTATTTCATATTTCTGTCGTTTTATTTGTAATTAGTTAGGGTCGACTGTGTCAAATGCTTTTTTAAGATCCAAGAAAACTCCTACAGCATAATCTTTGTTTTCCACAGCTGTTGTGATCTCTTCTAGTTATTAAAGATATAACATTATACAGAAAAAGCCTCTTTCATTAGCAACATATTTATTTATTTTGTGTTATTCTCTTGGATGTTTATGAAGTTGTCCAGCTCGTGTGTGTATTCTGTCTTTGAAGTGCAGAAACATTGACAGCAGGTGGCACTGCTGCATCAACAACAAGCTGAGACTTGAGCGTTATAAATACATGAACCCACATACAGCGCGAAAGGACCACTGTAGGGGGGACTTCCCCCATTTGACATCTTTTTTATGCTTTAAGTTCATCAGTGCATCCCCTAAGATCAACTTCATCCTCCTTCTATTTTGGTCTGAAAGTTATTTTAACTGTAACTTTTCAGACAAATATTTCACATACAAATCATTTCATCTGTTAATACATATGATACATAAGTGGAGAAAAGAAAAAAGTCATCAATACATAAACAAGTAAAGAACAGAGCCAGGGGGAGCTCTCAAATAAGTTCATTCAATAAAGAGAAGAGAGAGAGTTTTAGCAGCTTTCTTATTCGTTAAATCACAAATGCTTCTAATGTGTTGCTCAGGTTCCTTTTTTAAAGTTATGAATAATGGTTTGGACTGGAGAGACTAAATGTGGCTGTGTGGATATGGTAGGCTATTTACCTAAAATAATCAACTAATTAAATGTGTTTAATTTGTTCTGTTTTTACTATTGTTGATGGAAACCGAACAGGATATTCAATGTTATCATGAATATAATGAGATACAGTACAACTTTCCCAGATCTGTTGAAGGTGTAGGGACAGAGCCAGAACAGGTGCACCTCAGCTTCTGGATGAATTATTGACAGCCTCTGATCTCTTCTGACAATGTACCTCATCGTCTACGCAGGTGGCCTGCGAGCAGCCATCGGCCTCGCACCATGTGAATCCAGAAGCTTCTCGAAGGTGCGGGCAGACGGATGCCGACACAAACACTTGAAGGAATCTTGGTGTTCATGTGTTACTTTTAATGACAGCTGTCCTTTTCTATCGGAAAGGTATCCTTAAATGACTTCTTTCCCTGATTTACGACTCTATCCACTATCGCATCTGTACAATAAAGGCCCAAAAAGCCCAAAAGTAAAAAAAAAAATATGACCTTCAAGGGGGTGGCGGGCTGCCCCCCTAATATAATGGTAGGGGAAACACTGCAGTCCATACAGTAAATCAGTTAGAATTGTTCAGCATTCAACGGCCTAATTGCTGAAGAGAAGAAAGAGTTTGAGTATCTGTTTGTTCTCCTTGCAGGGGCAAGATAGCGCCATGCAAAGGGCAAGCTTCTGTGTTTCCCAAAAGGCTCCAAAATAAAAGCATTTAGTTACCACAGTTCATTGCGTTTGAAGCACTTGGGTTTACAAATCAAAACAGATTAATTTACTTGGATGTGGAAAAAAGAAACTCTCTAAATATGTTGTAACAGAATTCATGTTCAGACATAAAGAGATGTTTGGAAACTTGTCAGTGTGAGACGCACACACACACACACACACACACACACACGAAGATGAACCCTGCTGATTTCCTGTAAATGGAGCAGGGACAGGGCAACACTGAGCGGGGATTCAGAGGATTGCAGGGCGGGAAGGCTGAACGAAGGCTGAGTAAAAAACATTTGGATTTAATAAGGGGACGTAGGATTCCTGAAGTGTGAGTGTGTCCTGTTCTCTCAGTCTTGGGTTACATGCTAGAATAAACTGTTTCCTTTTGTGTTTTGATCTCACAGTGAGTGTTACTGTTTTTCCTCTCAGATTGACTTCAGATCAGAACATGAATGTGTGTTTAGAGGAAGAGGAGGACAAAGCAGAGTCTCCTGTACCCAGCTGTGTGTCTCTGAAGTCCATGGATCCTCCTAAGAGCTTCAAGAATGAATCTGAACCCTCACACTCAAAGTAAGACGGCTTGCTCACTTAGTTTCACTTTAGATGTTTTTTTAATGAACATTTCTAACATTCTGTTTATTAACTGTGAAGCCTTCTGATCATCAGAAGCAGCCTCAGTGTTTAGAGCTTCATAAATGGCTTTGTTGGTAGGGGTCACACGATCAGCAACTCATGAAACGGCATACATTTAGAAAAACACGCAGCATACAGAGGTGGAGTAAAAATACTTTGTTACCTTACTGAAGTAGAAATTTTGGGTAGCCTATCTATACTTTACTGGAGTAATTATTTTTCAGCCGACTTTTTACTTCTACTCCTTACATTTTCACGCAATTATCTGTACTTTCTACTCTTTACATTTAACAAAAAATAGCCTTGTTACTCCTATTTCATTTTGGCTAGTCATTGTTCAAAAACACACAAATAAAACCTATCCAGATAGATCGGGATAGAGTGAATTAGATTGTGGTTGGATGAGAAGTATAAACATATACCATTCCGACACCCTATTGGTTTGTACACGATCAAACGCATCAAACATGCTGCAAGTACAGAAACGAAACTTAAGTCGAAACACACACAACCAGAGAACCACAGCAAACAGAAACGCTGCAAGTTCAGCCTTAAACTGAAGTGCTCCAGGCCTGTAGGGGCGCTGTGGAACTGTACAGCCTGGAGCACTTCAGTTTAAGGCTGAACTTGCAGCGTTTCTGTTTGCTGTGGTTTTCTGGTTGTGTGTGTTTTTACTTAAGTTTCGTTTCTGTACTTTCGTTTCTTGAAGCTTATGCAGCGCATTTGTGTCTTTGCAGCGTGTTTCAACCTTTTTTGCATTTGTTGTGGTAGTTTGCATTTTCTTTTGGATGTGTAGCGTTTCTATATATGCTGCTCTATGTATGTCGTTTCATCAGTTGCTGAGCGTGTGACCCCTACCGGCCACAGTACAAAAGACCTGCTGCAGACCTGCAGACACACATCCGCTAAAACAGGGATGTCAAAGTTCTCTTGGGTTGGGGGCCGGATTTGTCCAAATGAGACCTCAAGTAGGCCGGACTAATTTTGCTGACATCACTATAACTCAACACATGGATATATAGGCTAATGTATGATTGTATAGAAAACTTTAACATTAACATTAAGCAGAGGGGTTAACTCTGTCATTGCAAACTGCATGTTGGCACATGGAAATATTTAAATGTACCACATTACAGAAGAAAATATCAATACCGTAATTATGTTTTGTTTGAGATTATTATATTATATTTAAATATTGCTGTTCAAGGTTATAGAAATTTTGACTCAAGTTATTCTACCTGCCCTGGGATCAGTGCATTAGAGAGAGAGAGAGACTTTAGATGTGTGTGTGTCAGGCCACAGTACAGTTTGCAGTCGTTAAGGTTCATTACAGATAAAACCTGCTCACATGAATAAGTTGTCACAAACAAACAGAGTGTCTTTGATGCATCTTCAGGTATTTTAGTGTTAGGCATTATAAAATGATAACATGTTTCCAAACGAACAGACTTGAATTGATCCTTCAGCGTTGCGCACTGCAGTCTGATCAGCTCCGTGTGGAGTGCACGTTTTTCAACTAAGTAGACTCAGTTATAACGACATTTCATATGAGTCTGGAAGTCCATTCTTCTCCGTGTCCGCACTATCGTGATCTAACTCTGTCACTGACTATTTATGCGCCATGAATCTCTGCCATCTCCGTGCGCAATTCGAGAAAGCATTTTAGCGCTGCTCCACGGTTAAACCAGCGGACCTCTGTATGATCGGACAGCCTGTGCGTGATATCGTTTTTGGATAAGAATGAAATGTTCAGTAATAGTTACACATTTACAGTCTGATGAACGCTACAGCAGGCTACTGCATTTAGAAGTGATGTCGCGCTGAAACTTTTAGGTGATCAACACAACACGTTCACCTCTGGGTGACCTAAAAATGAACCATCTGTAATTAAAATCAGTTAATATTCATTTGAATTTACTGTTTTTACAATAACCAGAGGTAAAACTAGTCGGGAGATGCATCAGGCTCAACGTCTGGATGTGTGGAGACGGTCTGGGTCATTACGCATGGCGGAGATGATTGTTTTTTATTTGCACGAGCTGCTCTTTGTGGCTCACTCCATAGGAAGCTTTGTTATTATCACCCAAAACTTTTGTTTTACATCAGTGAAGACAGGAGAAGCTGGTAAGAAGTGTGGACAGAACTGAAGACCGTCGGGATGCGCGCGCAGTGCAGAGGTGTGCCTGTCTTTAAGTCCTTTGATACGATTCTGGGAACTGGTGAGCAAATAAAACTAAAGGAATATTGCTCCTTCGATCGCTCTTTAAATTGCATTCTGTGACACCTCTCTCAGGTGTTCAGCCTGTTTTCTGATGTGATGTATTATCAGCGTAATGCAGGAGCAGCTCGTGATACTCCCTGCTGAGAAGATAGTTCAAAGTGCCCAGTTTAATTAATATTGGTATCATGATATCAACCTTAACGTTGCTCATTTTACATAGGTTTTAATACAATAAAAAATAAGTATTACAAATATTTGATTTATAAAACATCTCGCGGGCCTTATGTCTGACATCCCTGCGTTAATGAATTGTTTGTGTGTTACGTTTTCAACATCCTCAAAGCTCATGCAAGAAAAAAATATTTTCCCCAGATATCTGAAGATTACAGCAAACTTGTTATTCACAGACAGATTTCCATCTAGTCACTAGTGTTTGTAAAGTTGATGTTTCTGATGGAGAACAAAAACTGATATTGAAATTATGACTTTTTTGTATTACAGTTTGTTGGTCTTTGATTTTACAATTCTAAAAGTGTCATTGCTGCTTCTGGAGTCCTTGCTCATGACTGAATAACCTAGCTAAAGTTACTATTCAGTTTGTGTGTGTGTGTGTGTGTGTCTTTGTCCTGGCTGTGGCGTTAGATCAAACTGGTTTATCTTGTTTCTTGTGTTTTGATCTCACAAGCCGTTTTCACATATGCACTCTGGATAATATCTAGATAACTACAGGAGGACTAGATTCTCCCGACCTAGTCGTTCACATATGCTCCTCACAGCGGGGGAATTTCCCTGTCAGAGGGGAGGGGCCGCGGGGGATTTCCCGATGTAAGACGTGAACTAAATAAACAACGCGGAAGTAGCGGCCGAAGCAACAGAGTCCACTACACGACGCTATAATGAGAATATTTGCCTTTATATCAATGTTATGTGTAATCCAATGGAATGACAACATCCACAAAAGAGAGGAGAACAACATACTGACGAACAGAAAACAGAATGCAGACTTTTAATTACGTGCACGGAGATCGTAGTGCAGACACTTTAGTCGGTCACTATATAAACATCATTCTCTTTCTATTGGCTCAAATTGAAAATCTCTGGAGTATATTCGGCTGTGTTCAGACATCTTGTGTCTTGAAAGGCGCTTATACATAAAATTTATTATTATTATTATTATTATTATTATTATTATTATTATCAGCTCCTCCAAATTATCTGCGGAAAAATTACTAGGGGTCTGGCCGGATAAACTCCGGGTAATATCGGAGTAAAAAATTTGGCTGTTGCGTTCACACATACAGCTCCTCCTGGAAATCTCTGGAGATTTTCAGGAGATTTTCGTATGTGTGAAAAGGGTTACAGTGAGTGTTACTGTTTTTCTTCTCAGATCGACTTCAGATCAGAACATGAATGTGTATTTAGAGGAAGAGGAGGACAAAGCAGAGTCTCCTGTACCCAGCTGTGTGTCTCTGAAGTCCATGGATCCTCCTAAGAGCTTCAAGAATGAACCTGAACCCTCACACTCAAAGTAAGACGGCTTTCTCACTTAGTTTCACTTTAGATGTTTTTTTAATGAACATTTCTAACATTCTGTTTATTAACTGTGAAGCCTTCTGATCATCAGAAGCAGCCTCAGTGTTTAGAGCTTCATAAATGGCTTTGTTATCTAACAACTTAAAGATTTATGTGGTATAAGACTATAAATACAAAACATGTTGTTTTCAAAGATTACAGTTCAGCAGGCAGAGAGGACAGTCTCCTGTACCCAGCTGTGTGTCTATGAAGAGTGATCTGTCCAGAGATGAACCTCCATTTTTCAGTGATGAACCTCGACCATCAGACACAAAGTAAGACATCGTACCGTTATGATTAACATCGCTCAGGGATGTGATTCTTCCGCATTTATCCAAATTTCCAGATTTTCTGAGCTGAACAGTTGCCACAGAGACTTTAATTATCCGTGTGTTTACCAGAAAGAGAGTGCAATACGTGAGAAACAGAAAGACACATTTTCCATCAATCCTCGGATCATGTGAGGCCTGAACCATGGGGGGGGATACAAACGGGTCACGGATCAAGTGTGAACTCTAAAGAAGGCATCATTTTAGTGCCATGTTGACCTGCTATACAAATAGGAAGACATACAGTACTGGACTGTCCCACACAAAAGGTCGTTAAACGTTGATATTTCATTGTCTACGTTTACTTTGTATCAAACACTGCTTCGTCTTTTCCTCTTTCACTCTCAACCCGTCTGCTGTCATGCAGGTATCAGCTGGTGTCTGTGTGTGACAACATTCAGTAGCTTTAGTTAGTAATGTTACAGCCTGCTGCAGTCTGAAGCTGTAAACTGAGACAAACTCTGTTACAGATCGCTTCAATCCAAAAACTGAAGATATAGTTCCTAATTGCACACGGCACATTTGTTGTTTGTCTGATTCACAAAAGACCAGCTGCAGACACACATCCACTAAATGAATTGTTTGTGTGTTACGTTTTCAACATCCTCAAAGCTCATGCAAGAAAAAAATATTTTCCCCAGATATCTGAAGATTACAGCAAACTTGTTATTCACAGACAGATTTCCATCTAGTCACTAGTGTTTGTAAAGTTGATGTTTCTGATGGAGAACAAATACTGATATTGAAATTATGACTTTTTTGTATTACAGTTTGTTGGTCTTTGATTTTATAATTCTAAAAGTGTCATTGCTGCTTCTCGAGTCGTTGCTCATGACTGAATAACCTAGCTAAAGTTACTATTCAGTTTGTGTGTGTGTGTGTGTGTGTGTGTGTGTGTGTGTGTGTGTGTCTTTGTCCTGGCTGTGGCGTTAGATCAAACTGGTTTATCTTGTTTCTTGTGTTTTGATCTCACAAGCCGTTTTCACATATGCACTCCAGATAATATCTAGATAACTACAGGAGTACTTCTCCGGAGATTCTCCCGACCTAGTCGTTCACATATGCTCCTCACAGCGGGGGAATTTCCCTGTCAGAGGGGAGGGGCCGCGGGGGATTTCCCGATGTAAGACGTGAACTAAATAAACAACGCGGAAGTAGCGGCCGAAGCGGCCGAAGCAACAGAGTCCACTACACGACGCTATAATGAGAATATTTGCCTTTATATCAATGTTATGTGTAATCCAATGGAATGACAACATCCACAAAAGAGAGGAGAACAACATACTGACGAACAGAAAACAGAATGCAGACTTTTAATTACGTGCACGGAGATCGTAGTGCAGACACTTTAGTCGGTCACTATAATAAACATCATTCTCTTTCTATTGGCTCAAATTGAAAATCTCTGGAGTATATTCGGCTGTGTTCAGACATCTTGTGTCTTGAAAGGCGCTTATACATAAAATTTATTATTATTATTATTATTATTATTATTATTATTATTATTATTATTATCAGCTCCTCCAAATTATCTGCGGAAAAATTACTAGGGGTCTGGCCGGATAAACTCCGGGTAATATCGGAGTAAAAAATTTGGCTGTTGCGTTCACACATACAGCTCCTCCTGGAAATCTCTGGAGATTTTCAGGAGATTTTCGTATGTGTGAAAAGGGTTACAGTGAGTGTTACTGTTTTTCTTCTCAGATCGACTTCAGATCAGAACATGAATGTGTATTTAGAGGAAGAGGAGGACAAAGCAGAGTCTCCTGTACCCAGCTGTGTGTCTCTGAAGTCCATGGATCCTCCTAAGAGCTTCAAGAATGAACCTGAACCCTCACACTCAAAGTAAGACGGCTTTCTCACTTAGTTTCACTTTAGATGTTTTTTTAATGAACATTTCTAACATTCTGTTTATTAACTGTGAAGCCTTCTGATCATCAGAAGCAGCCTCAGTGTTTAGAGCTTCATAAATGGCTTTGTTATCTAACAACTTAAAGATTTATGTGGTATAAGACTATAAATACAAAACATGTTGTTTTCAAAGATTACAGTTCAGCAGGCAGAGAGGACAGTCTCCTGTACCCAGCTGTGTGTCTATGAAGAGTGATCTGTCCAGAGATGAACCTCCATTTTTCAGTGATGAACCTCGACCATCAGACACAAAGTAAGACATCGTACCGTTATGATTAACATCGCTCAGGGATGTGATTCTTCCGCATTTATCCAAATTTCCAGATTTTCTGAGCTGAACAGTTGCCACAGAGACTTTAATTATCCGTGTGTTTACCAGAAAGAGAGTGCAATACGTGAGAAACAGAAAGACACATTTTCCATCAATCCTCGGATCATGTGAGGCCTGAACCATGGGGGGGGATACAAACGGGTCACGGATCAAGTGTGAACTCTAAAGAAGGCATCATTTTAGTGCCAAGTTGACCTGCTATACAAATAGGAAGACATACAGTACTGGACTGTCCCACACAAAAGGCCGTTAAACGTTGATATTTCATTGTCTACGTTTACTTTGTATCAAACACTGCTTCGTCTTTTCCTCTTTCACTCTCAACCCGTCTGCTGTCATGCAGGTATCAGCTGGTGTCTGTGTGTGACAACATTCAGTAGCTTTAGTTAGTAATGTTACAGCCTGCTGCAGTCTGAAGCTGTAAACTGAGACAAACTCTGTTACAGATCGCTTCAATCCAAAAACTGAAGATATAGTTCCTAATTGCACACGGCACATTTGTTGTTTGTCTGATTCACAAAAGACCAGCTGCAGACACACATCCACTAAATGAATTGTTTGTGTGTTACGTTTTCAACATCCTCAAAGCTCATGCAAGAAAAAAATATTTTCCCCAGATATCTTAAGATTACAGCAAACTTGTTATTCACAGACAGATTTCCATCTAGTCACTAGTGTTTGTAAAGTTGATGTTTCTGATGGAGAACAAATACTGATATTGAAATTATGACTTTTTTGTATTACAGTTTGTTGGTCTTTGATTTTATAATTCTAAAAGTGTCATTGCTGCTTCTCGAGTCGTTGCTCATGACTGAATAACCTAGCTAAAGTTACTATTCAGTTTGTGTGTGTGTGTGTGTGTGTGTGTGTGTGTGTGTGTGTGTGTGTCTTTGTCCTGGCTGTGGCGTTAGATCAAACTGGTTTATCTTGTTTCTTGTGTTTTGATCTCACAAGCCGTTTTCACATATGCACTCCAGATAATATCTAGATAACTACAGGAGTACTTCTCCGGAGATTCTCCCGACCTAGTCGTTCACATATGCTCCTCACAGCGGGGGAATTTCCCTGTCAGAGGGGAGGGGCCGCGGGGGATTTCCCGATGTAAGACGTGAACTAAATAAACAACGCGGAAGTAGCGGCCGAAGCGGCCGAAGCAACAGAGTCCACTACACGACGCTATAATGAGAATATTTGCCTTTATATCAATGTTATGTGTAATCCAATGGAATGACAACATCCACAAAAGAGAGGAGAACAACATACTGACGAACAGAAAACAGAATGCAGACTTTTAATTACGTGCACGGAGATCGTAGTGCAGACACTTTAGTCGGTCACTATATAAACGTCATTCTCTTTCTATTGGCTCAAATTGAAAATCTCTGGAGTATATTCGGCTGTGTTCAGACATCTTGTGTCTTGAAAGGCGCTTATACATAAAATTTATTATTATTATTATTATTATTATTATTATTATTATTATTATTATTATCAGCTCCTCCAAATTATCTGCGGAAAAATTACTAGGGGTCTGGTCGGATAAACTCCGGGTAATATCGGAGTAAAAAATTTGGCTGTTGCGTTCACACATACAGCTCCTCCTGGAAATCTCTGGAGATTTTCAGGAGATTTTCGTATGTGTGAAAAGGGTTACAGTGAGTGTTACTGTTTTTCCTCTCAGATCGACTTCAGATCAGAACATGAATGTGTATTTAGAGGAAGAGGAGGACAAAGCAGAGTCTCCTGTACCCAGCTGTGTGTCTCTGAAGTCCATGGATCCTCCTATGAGCTTCAAGAATGAACCTGGACCCTCACACTCAAAGTAAGACGGCTTTCTCACTTAGTTTCACTTTAGATGTTTTTTTAATGAACATTTCTAACATTCTGTTTATTAACTGTGAAGCCTTCTGATCATCAGAAGCAGCCTCAGTGTTTAGAGCTTCATAAATGGCTTTGTTATCTAACAACTTAAAGATTTATGTGGTATAAGACTATAAATACAAAACATGTTGTTTTCAAAGATTACAGTTCAGCAGACAGAGAGGACAGTCTCCTGTACCCAGCTGTGTGTCTATGAAGAGTGATCTGTCCAGAGATGAACCTCCATTTTTCAGTGATGAACCTCGACCATCAGACACAAAGTAAGACATCGTACCGTTATGATTAACATCGCTCAGGGATGTGATTCTTCCGCATTTATCCAAATTTCCAGATTTTCTGAGCTGAACAGTTGCCACAGAGACTTTAATTATCCGTGTGTTTACCAGAAAGAGAGTGCAATACGTGAGAAACAGAAAGACACATTTCACATCACACACAAAAGGTCGTTAAGCATTGATATTTCATTGTCTACGGTTACTTTGTATCAAATGCTGCTTCATCTCCGTTCACTGACTAAATGTGCAAGTTATGCATTTTTCAGGTTCATGTGCATTTCACTTTATATTATTCTGTGCTCTTTAAAGTATCTTTCTAATTTAATGCACTTTGAATTGCCTCTGTATGAAAAGTGCTGCACAAATAACCCAGTGTTTCCCCTACCTTTATATAAGGCCCCCGCCCCCCCTTGAAGGTGAAGTTAAACATACAGCATCAACACATCATAAGCGCTTGTGCACGGTTATGTGTCACAGTGGAAAGACAGCCGACAGCTTCACTGCTGTCACTCCCGCGAGCGCACTCGCACAAGGATTTAAGGGCAGGTTTTCTTCAATAAAAATGTTTGGTAAAACGGTTTTAAAACCATCAGATTCCAACAAAAGATGGACTAAAATTGGCATTCAAAGAAAAAAAATCACCGGAACAAACCAAAATAATGTCACACTTAATACAACATTTTATATCAGCTATACAGAGACTACTTGTATAAAAAAAAACGTTGGAAATTCTGCAGGGCTGGAAAAGTGCAAGAACACTACAACTCTCCAGTCCACATGTTTACAAAAGTATTCAAATGCATTCATCATTGTGTTAACATGTGTCTGATGAACACATGAAACGTTTATTAAAAGACCTTATAAAGATTCTAAAATATTGCAGAAAATGAACAAATTGGTGCATAAAAACTGATCATAATGAAGGAATGATCTGGCTCAAAATTTCCTTGGGGAGACCCCTAGCCCTAATACCTGCTCTCTATGATCATCTGAGTGTTTAGATTATGTTTGATAAATCTTCATAATTTCTATCAGTCAACGATCAGTTTAGTTTTAAAGACATGTCTTCACAGGGGGACCAAGAGGAGTCATGTTATAGAGGAGCAGCTGTCTTGTCCTGTGTGTCAGGACATCCTGAAGGATCCCGGCTGTGGACACTGGTTCTGCAAACGGTGCATCACCTCATACTGGGACCAGTATGGTTCACCAGGAGACTCGTCCTGTCCTCAGTGTGGAAAAAGACCCAGAACAGGAGCTGGACTGCAAACAGTCAGTCAGAGCAGCACTGAACAAAGTAATACTGTACACCTTTCTTCTTCCTCCTGAAACAGGACTTTTATTGGTAAATGTAAAAAGTATAGAAATTAAAACTCTTTTTACTACTTTTACAATAACATTTGAAAATAATAAGCATTATTTATCATTCTCTCTTTCAGTAGATAGAGGTCTGCAGGAGGTTTTAGATGAACATAAGGTCAGTCTGAGGAGGAGATGTGAACGTGTGACTGATGGAAGTGATGAAACAGGAAGAAGAACCCTCCTCAACAGGATCTACACTGAGCTCTACATCACAGAGGGGCAGAGTGAAGAGGTGAACTCCCAACATGAGGTGAGACAGATTGAGACAGACTCTAAAAAGAAGACCCTCCATGAGGCTCCAATCAAGTGCCAGGACATCTTTAAAGCCTTACCCAACCAACAGAAACCCATCAGAGTGGTTCTGACAAATGGCATCGCTGGTGTTGGAAAAACCTTCTCAGTGCAGAAGTTCACTCTGGACTGGGCAGAGGGTTCAGAGAACCAATACATCAGTCTGCTGATCCTGCTTTCATTCAGGGAGCTGAACTTGATCAGAGATACGCGGTACAGTCTTCTTGACCTGCTCCATGTTTTCCATCCAACATTACAGAAGGTCGGAGCAGAGACGCTCGCTGTCTGTAAACTATTGTTCATCTTTGACGGCCTGGATGAAAGCAGACTGTCATTGGACTTCAAAAACAGGGAGGTTGTTTCTGATGTCACACAAAAGTCATCGTTAAACACACTGTTCACAAACCTCATCAAGGGGAATCTGCTTCCCTCAGCTCTTATCTGGATAACTTCTCGACCTGCAGCAGCCAATCAGATCCCTCCTTCATATGTTGACAGGGTAACAGAAGTACGAGGTTTCACTGACGGCCAGAAGGAGGAGTACTTCAGGAGGAGGTTCATCGATGAAGATCTGTCCAACAAAATCATCTCACACATCAAGGCATCCAGGAGCCTCCACATCATGTGTCTGATCCCAGTCTTTTGCTGGATCACTGCCACAGTTCTGGAGCACATGATGAGCACAGAGCAGAGAGGAGAGCTTCCCAAGTCCCTGACTGACATGTACTCATATTTCCTGCTGGTTCAGATGAAGAGGAAGAAGCACAAGTATGATGAGGGACAAGAGACAAGTCCACATGAGCTGATGGAGGCCGACAGGGAAATTCTTCTCAAGCTGGGGAGGCTGGCGTTTGAACATCTGGAGGACGGAAACATCATGTTCTACCAAGAAGACCTGGAGCGGTGTGGTCTGGATGTCACAGAGGCCTCGGTGTACTCAGGAGTTTGTACAGAGATCTTCAAAACAGAGTGTGTGATCTTCCAGAAAACAGTCTACTGCTTTGTTCATCTGAGCGTTCAGGAGTTTCTGGCTGCAGTCTACATGTTCCACTGTTTCACCAACAAGAACACAAAAGTTCTAAAGGCTTTTCTGGAGCAAGAAACGAGCGCCGACGACGGCGACGATAACGACGGCGACGATGACGACGACGGCAATAACGGCGACGACGGCAATAACGGCGACGACGCCGACGACAGCTACGGCAATGACAACTACGGCGATGACAGCGATGACAACTACAGCGATGACGGCGATGACAACTACGGCGACGATGGCGACGACAACTACGATGACAGCGATGACGGTGACGACAACTACGATGACAGTGACGACGCCGTCGCCGGCAATGACAACTACGGCGATGACGGCGATGACAGCGATGACAACTACGGCGATGACGGCGATGACGGCGATGACAGCGACGACAGCAACGGCGACGACAGCAACGGCGACGACAGCAACGGCGACGACAGCGGCGGCGATGACAACTACGGCGACTACGGCGACTACGGCGACTACGGTGACGGCGACGATGATAACTACAGCGATGACGGCAACGACAACTACGGCAATGACAAGTACAGCGACGGCAGCGATGACGGCGACGGCAGCGATGACGGCGACGGCAGCGATGACGGCGACGGCAGCGATGACGGCGACGGCAGCGAAGACTACAGCCATGACGGTAATGGCAAAAGCGACAATGACAACAACTACACTTCTTTAAAAGTCTTTCTCGGTAGAGCCATGGAGAAATCCATGAAAAGTAACAAAGGTCACCTGGATCTTTTTGTTCGCTTCCTTCATGGACTGTCTCTGAAGTCAAACCAGAGACTCTTAGGAACCCTGCTGGGTCAGACAGACAACAGTCCAGAAATTATCAAGAAAGTCATCGACAACCTGAAGGAGATGAACAGTTATAAAATCTCTCCCGACAGAAGCATCAACATCTTCCACTGTCTGACGGAGATGAACGACCTCTCAGTCCATCAGGAGATCCAAGAGTTCCTGAAGTCAGAGAACAGATCAGAGGAGAAACTCTCTGAGGTCCACTGCTCTGCTCTGGCCTACATGCTGCAGATGTCAGATGAGGTTCTGGATGAGTTGGACCTGAAGAAGTACAAGACATCGGGCCAGGGACGATTGAGACTGATTCCAGCTGTGAGGAACTGCAGGATGGCAAAGTAAGTCCAGAGTATTATAAATCAGTTTCATGTAATTATTTACTTCTATTCTAAAACTAAACAAAATCCTCACTGTTCCCCAAATAGTCTTCCACTGTTAATGTTTAGGAGAAATAGTCAGTCATATTTTTTTAGTTTTTTGCCCTGAGTTCAAAATATTGATAGTTTTCTTTGTGAACACATTCAGGAGGAAATCCCCTAAGAACTGACTGAAATGGCTGATAGTGTTGATCCCTGAAAAGGGAGATATCAGATGCTGTGAGTGCGCCCTTCCACATCTGCCAGCCTAGCAGCCCTCAATGCGCAAGGCATGAAGCTGCAGTTAATGCACGGGTCCTCTGAGAGACCCTCCTTCAGATGTTCAATACCAAGGCATCAAGGGCAAAGATCGTGGCAATCCTCAGGATTGAACAGGGCCATATAGTTAGCACAGTTATGAGAATTCCTCCTAGCGGCTATGTCCGATACAGTGGACTAGTGAGTCTGGCAGAGCAAGAGCACTCCACTGACTGAAATATCCAAATCAGCAAGTGGCGATAGTCTAGCTAAAGTTAGCCTGAGTGAGAGCACTTCAGCCGAGTGTGAGAACGTGAGGCAAAATGAATATTACACTACTATGGCAAGAGGGGAGAGAAAGCACTCTCTTCACCAACACTTTAACCAGTATGTAAGCTAACACAGAGCGAACGTGCTCATGTTAGCACAAGCGGGAGCACAAGCCTTTGGGGGGCTTACAATCCGCTGCTCAGACCAAATGGTCACAAGGCTACAGGCAACACTTTTGTTGAAGTTAAGTTATGCGATGCTATTCGATCAACTCAATGCTACTACAGTGACCTGTATAAGCAAGAAGATGATAGGGAATGAGTGCTCAGATGACACCGGTAGTTATACGGGGGTCATCAGAGGTCAGACGTTACTTTGTTGGTATAAATACTCGACCTGCGCTTGCGTGAGATGAGATATTCAGTGAGAAGTAGAGGTTTGAAAAAAAAATCGATTGATGTAAAAATCAAGAACTGCCTTGCAGTCAGGAACCGTGAAATAGAACTACATTTGTTTTCATTAATCTGCAACATTTAGTAAATGATTGAAAGATAAAAAAATGTGCTGGTTTGAAAACGAGTGATGAGACTTGTGCGGCTGTGGATCAGTGGTAGAGTCGTCGTCCCTCAACTGGAGGGTTGAGGGTTCGATCCCCAGCTCCTGCATCAACATGTTCAATGTGTCCTTGGACAAGACACTCAACATCGAAATGCTCCCGCTGCTTCGGCGGCGGCGTATGAATGTGTATGAATGGGATTAGTTACTTCTGATGGTCTCCCTACATAGCAACCTCTGCCATCAGTGTGTGACTGTGTAGGCGAGACATGCAGTGTGCTTTGAGTATTCAGAAGACTAGAAAAGTGCTATATAAGCTCAAGTCCATTTACCATTTACTTGAAGTTTTGTGTCAGTTAAAGATTCCATTGATGTATAAAGTTAAGACAAAACAGGACATGTCAAACTGTTTAATCATCAAGATAATAAATATCAATAAATTATATATAAATCGCTTTCTTTGTAAGTAATATTTCTCTATCATATGCGTCACAACAGACTTTCTTTCTGTGGACTATCAGGGACTCACTGTGACGTCGTGGCCTCTGCTCTGAAGTCCAACCCCTCCCATCTCAGAGAGCTGGACCTGAGTGACAACTACGACCTGCAGGATTCTATCTATCGGCTATCGGCTGGACTGGAGAGTCCAAACTGCAGACTTGAGACTCTGAGGTCAGATCACTGACTGTAATATATAATAGAAATTGAATTTGAATTTATGAAAGGTCAGCAGCTTCAGATGCATCGTCTCATCTTTAAGGGGGTCCTAACACAAATATAAAGTAATACACAAACATCCAAAACAGCATTACTTAACAGACATACTTACAATTACTAAAAAGCAACAATAGAGCGCTTCATCTTTGTGTTATTTGTAGAACAAGCAAATTGAAAGTTTTAGACAAACAAAAACAAGAACATGTATTCATTTGTATTTTATCGTTAATATTTATTTATTTTAAATCCAACCCACATCCTTTGATTGATGTTGCACAGTATTGGTAGTTACATTTTTAGTCGTATCCTGTATTAAATCTGAGGAAATGTATTTAGTTCATGTCGATCCTTCCAAATGTCTGAACAGTATGTAGAGTGACTCAAAGGAGAGAAATTAAATATGTGATGGAATAGTTATCTGTATTCACAGACTCAACATTGTGCTCCATCAGTCAGAGTGTAACAGTCTGAATATTGTTGTATTACCAAATAGCTCCACCAGGTGGTGCCTCTGTTGTGTTCTGAGTGTGTGATAGAAAGAGTCATTGATCTCTGACATCTATCTTACATGTGAGTAAGATAGTGAGAGACGGTATTCATCCATCCATCTACTTTAATGCACTTTAAATTGCCTCTGTATGAAATGTGCTGCACAAATAATCTCACCTTTCATTACTAGTGTGATAGAAAGAGTCATTGATCTCTGACATCTATCTTACATGTGAGTAAGATAGTGAGAGACGGTATTCATCCATCCATCTACTTTAATGCACTTTAAATTGCCTCTGTATGAAATGTGCTGCACAAATAATCTCACCTTTCATTACTAATTTATTAATACATTTACGTTCAGGCAAGATAGATAGATAGATAGATAGATAGATACTTAATTTAATTCTTTAAATACTTAATTCATCCTAACGGAAATTGAAGCATCCAGTAGCAGCTTATGAGATGTAACAACACCTGCTGTTCCCCTCCCCCTCCCTGTTTGGTTAGAGCCTATTTACCCTCACACAAGTGAAAAAAAAAACCCTACAGAGATCAAATTTTACACTTACGTGTATGTTTGTGGAAAATTAAATGTAAAATTCCACAGTGGTCAGCAACTACAGTGAAAGGCCGGTGGGACTATTCAGAGAGTTTATCATTTAGAACAAGTTTAGATTGAGTTTTGATAACGTTTCTATATCCTGTCAAAGTATTCCAGATTTAGGAATCATCTTTATGCAGAGATTTTTTTTAACTCTTCATGAAGATTAAAAACAACGTGCACATGAAGCCTCTGGTTTCCTCTGGTTGTGTTAAGAAGTGAAATCATAAAGACTTACTATTCAATAATGTCTGATTTGATAAATGTACTAACATCACAGAGCTGACTGAGATCAGCAGCCTGTTATTCATCTGTGCACATGAACAGCTGTATGAATGTTGTGCTGACATTTGGAGGATTTAGATTTAGTGTATACCCAATCAGAAATTATCCTCTAATCATTTAGAGAACATTTTATTCATCAGGACAAAGTGATGTTGAGATACTCATCACAACCTGAACACGTGAGTGGATTATACATTATTTTTCTTCTTCTTTTCTTTATTCAGATTGAGTGGCTGCAGTTTGTCAGAGATCAGCTGTTCTTCTCTGGCCTCAGCTCTGAAGTCCAACCCCTCCCATCTTAGAGAGCTGGACCTGAGCGACAACAAGAAGCTGCAGGATTCAGGAGTGAAGCTGCTGTGTGATTATCTGCAAAGGCCAAACTGCAGACTGGAGACTCTGAGGTCAGATCACTGACTGTAATATATATATGTCTATAATAGAAACTGTTTGAATTCATTAAAGGTTAGCACCTTGAGATGCAACGTCTCATCTTTAATGAGCAGCTGTTCAACAAGACCTGGTTAAGAAATAAAGTACAACAATTTAAAGAGCAACAATAGAGCAACAATAGAGCTCTTCGTCTTTGGGTTAGTTGTAAACTGAAAGTTATAGACACACAAAAAACAAGAACAGGTTGTTTTAATTTGTACGCTATCATTAAAATGTATTTATTTTAAATCCAGCCCATATCCTTTGATTGATGGTGCACAGTAATGGTAGTTACATTTTCTGACATCCATCTTCATGTGTGTAAAATGGTGAGAGGGCTCTGAATCAGAGGTCGAAAGAGTACTAAAATAATCTACTCAAGTAAAAGTACTATTACTTTCATAAGATTTTACTTAAGTACCAAGTAAAATTACCAGTTTAAAGGGATACTTCATCCACTTGCACTAAGCTTTGTATCATTAGAAACCTGGTAGTATTTTTGAATGGTTGTGCATCCCGCCCTCATTTTCCCCTAAATTGGAATATCTTTGTATTTCTAAATCTGATAAGGAGCCTCCGATGACGCAAAAATTGTTATTTTGCGTCATCGGCGGCTGTTGTGGTTAGCGGGAGTGAAACTACAATGCAAGTTCTTCATATTTTTGACCACTGAAGTTACAGACCTATCACAGATCAATGGGTGGGACCTCACTCCCAGAATCGAAACTTAACGTCTGCCATATTGCTTGTTAGCATAGCTTCCAAGCTGATAATGGCGAAAAAAGTATGTTTCAACTCAAACTGATATGGATGAAGGGGATTTTGAAGGTCTTGTGCTCGAATCGGATGTTCTTGGCTATCTCTACGAGCCGCAATGTAGCTGCGAGGCGGCTGCTGCCGACATGCCGGTCTTGCTTGCGGATGCCGGGTGAAAGAGCATTGCTGCTAGAAGCAACTCGGTTTGTTTTTAGCCTGAGCTAATCAGCCGAAGCCAACCACGACCAAACCGAAGGGACTATGCCGCCACTAACCCCACCATCCAGATGCGATAGCTGTCTTCTCTTGACCCAAAAAATATCCGAACTGGAAGGGACGATATCCATATTGTACCAGATCAAAGATGAAGAGCGGATCATGGACTCCATAATAACCATGGGCCCTGCGGCCACCACTTCTCAGGCCGGAGGAGAGCTTGACTCAACTGTCCCATGTCTGGATACTGTCACGGCCCAAGTCGTAGACTACTGGACCCAGCGAGGGGCAAAGCCTAAGGTACTGACTAGCTCTACTCCTGGCCGAAAGGAGCCAAAGGAGCCATGGATTGTTGCTGGCAAAGGAAAAAATAGTGCTAAACTTCACCCACTTCAAACGGAGTCTCTACGACTGGAAAACAAGTTTTCTATCCTGGATGAACGGGATTTCCCCCCGCTCCCTTCTTCCTCTCCAGGGTCTACTGCTCAGTCTGAACACCTGGCTCTCCCTTGTTTGCCACTCCCACAGCATAGGATTTGTTGACAATCTTAATGTTTTTTGGGGTAGGAGGCATCTTTTCGGTGTGGATGGGTTGCACTTGAACAAATCAGGCGCGCAGATGCTCGCCGCCAACGTCACCTATGGCATGCAGCATGCTTGCATGACCGCACCTGTAAACAGCTCAGGCTGCCGACCACTGCGTGCTAACCATAGACAATATTAGGTGCTAACCAGTCATTTGCTGAATGATGTCCCCCCAGGTCCTAGTCCCCATCATTTTAGCTCCCCCTTAAATAACAATATAAGATCATTTGGATTTGGCAACGATAAACATGGCAGCAGTCACGAAAGACGCAGGCCGTCTCTGGCTTTGATAACTGTTGGAAATATTTATAAGAATTCAACAACAAACATATATATAACATAGGTTGAGTTCATTTTTAATTACTTTAGATATTAGTGTAAAAAATCTACACATTACACCTTTAAGAACATTTCCTATACGTGACATCGTTTAAACATGTAAAGCCAGTTAAATTTGTTTCTTAATGAGGTCATTCAGGTGCTTTTAACCATGGGTAAAGTGTTAAGGCTCGAGGAAGACAAAGAGCAGAGAAGGATGATTTTTATTTTTGCATTTTAAGAATTATGTTAAAATGTTTATAATATTTAGATTTGTTTCATGTACAAGGCAACAAGACAAAGTTCAGAGGCGAGACCTGATTTTCTGTTCTTGTTTTGAGATTAAAGTCTGCGTGTCCAAAACACATAAAGATTCAGTATCAGTGGGAGGAATAAGAAAATCTACACTAGAGTAGGAAGAATGTCAAAATCCAGATTTCAATATCCAAAATGTAAATCTTGTTTCCCATTTCCTGGCAATAATAACCTTTCCTTTTGAATAAGTTATGTGTTGGACCACAACCTTTTGGAATAGAAAAACAACAACACAAATCTGGAACTACCTCCTGATATTATTTAAACTCTTTGTAGTAATCAGCATATTGTTAAAGAGTATTCTCTCTGTTTTTGTTGTCAGTATGAAGAGAGAAGAGAGTGTGATGACTGTCAGCTGGATGTTGAGCCCACAATACTCAGCGTCATCCTTCTGAAGATTCAATGAGAAAATGATGACAGTGAAACAAATTAATTACCCTAACAGTGGAGACACATACAGTTTTATTTTATTCATTTAGACCTGCAATATCATGTAAAAGTTTCCGAGCTAAGTGAGAATATCTCTACAATAATTCTTTATGTTTTTCAACATGAGGCAGATAATTCCAGTGCTCTGAAGGTTACTAACGATACTAAAGAAAATCTCTTATATGCAGTAAAAGGAAGTTAATGTGTTTTTTCCACTTTTTGTTATGAAGGCAGATATTTCTGTGTGACAGGAAAGACATGCTGTGAATGGGAGAGAGCTGCTGGTGAGACACACTGATGAGTCTCAGGTTGACTGAGCTCTTCTCGCTGTGCTGATGCTGCTGCTGCACATTCTTGTACACAACTGTTGTCCTCGTTTTTCTCAGAAATATAAATTGATAGTGATATTTTTAATATTCCTGTCAGAATTAGTAAAAGGAACTTCTCTGTGAGAGTTAAAAGATTTTCTGTTCCTTCGAATTTAATAAATATCAGCAAGCAACCCACAACTTCAATTTCATCTCCTCCTATCTCAGTTAAGTTTGGTCTTTTAAATGTCAGGGCTATCTCAAGCAAGACTTTTATTCTAAATGATTTTATAAGTTCCAACAATGTTGATTTCATGTTTATAACAGAGACATGGCTAAAACCCGGGGATACCTCTCACATTTGTGAATTATGCCCCCCAGAGTATGATTTGATACTCAATATTCATGTCGACAACCCTTCTGATTCTTTTGCAAAAGACTTTATTATTTTGGTTTAAAGCAGCATGTCCATGGGCCTACACATAACCGTGGACATACCTTGGATCTGGTTTTTACCTGTGTTTTGAGTCTAAACACTCTATGCATGACTGACCTGTTCATATCACATCACTCTTGTCTTTTATTTGACAGCATTATCTCAACCGAATTGGAGAAAAAGACAGAAGCTAAATGGTCTCGCATTTTTAATGAAGAAATGGTCCCAAAATTTGTATCCAGTTTTCCTGAAAGAATTATACCTAATTCCTCAGACACAGAGTCTCTAATGAATGATTTTAACCTACTCTGTACATCCACCTTAAATTATGTTGTGCATCTTAAGACTAAGACTATGCATAAAACAAAGTTGGTAACCTGGATCAACAGTGATGTTCGCAAGTACAAGAGAGAATGCAGAAAGGTAGAGTGGAGATGGAGGAAGACAAAACTCGAGTTACATTACCAAGAAATGAAAGCATGTATGATCTATTTTAATGAGCAGGTCAGAAATGCAAGAACCAACTATTTCTCTGTTTTAATCCATACTAATAAACACAGCCCCAGAGCCCTTTTTAACACAGTAGACCGGCTTTTAAATTCTGTACGTTTTCAAGGTAATTCATCCCCCGAAGAATGTCTTAAATTTTTAAATTTCTTTCATGATAAAATAAGTGAGATACAATCAACAATAATAGCCCCTGATTCTTTTATTGATGTCCCCTGTCCCAACCGTGAAATTTTAACAAGTTTTGTACCAGTTTCTTTTAATGATCTTATGACTACAATTGCACAGCTAAAGCGCTCTACAAGACCTATTGATGTACTGCCCCCTAAGTACTTCTTGGAACTAATGGATGTGACAGCACCCTGGCTACTTTCAATCGTTAATAGTTCCCTATCCTCTGGTCATGTCCCACTGCTTGTGTTCAGCCACCGGCCTCGATCCATCAGACTGCAGCAACTACAGACCAATCTCAAAGTTACCATTTATTGCAAAAATTCTGGAAAAAACTATCGCAATGCAACTGCTTGAAGTACTGAAAAATAATGACAATTATGAAAAGTTCCAGTCTGGTTTCAGACAAAAACATAGTACTGAGACTGTGCTTATTAGAGTAACAAATGATATTTTAAGAATGGCTGATACTGGTGTATGCTCTGTCCTTGTACTGCTTGATTTAAGTGCAGCATTTGATACAATGGACCATAAAATTCTTATTGAGAGGCTTCAGCACTGAGTTTGTTTCTCTGGGACAGCTCTGAAGTGGTTCTACTACTTATTTATTAGATCGGAATTTTTTTGTGTCTATTGATGAACATGCTTCCCCTCACTCCACAGTGAACTGTGGAGTCCCCCAAGGGTTGATATTGGGACCAATTTTATTCTCCCTCTATATGCTCCCTCTTGGTCAAATTATACAAAGACACAACATTCAGTTTCACTGCTACGCTGATGACACACAGCTGTATCTCCCAATTGACCAAAGGGCTTCTCCAAACCTAGAAGACCTCAGAAATTGTTTTACAGACATTAAGAAATGGATGTCAGCTAATTTTCTCAAATTAAACACTGACAAAACTGACATTTTAATGATTGGAAACCTGGGAGTGACCTTTGATAGCAATCTAACCTTT